AATGTAGATGTAGCTCTCTGTAAGGAGAAATTAAATCTAAATTTAAGGTGCTGTGCCTTTTTTTCTGTTTGTTTTTTAACTAAGGTATGTTCTTTAGCACTATGTCATTGTCATTTTGATCTAGGTGAAGGATGCTACCCGAAAGATTGCAAAGGCTTTTGCCATCTCTGGCCCATTCAACGTCCAATTTCTTGTCAAAGGAAATGATGTCTTGGTAAGAGATGCCAAGGTGCTTGAGAGAACACCACTGCTGTGTTAGGTCATGCTGGTTTGTGTCCCTGTGGTAATCTCTATGAATACCAGCCACAGTGTAACTGAGACCCCTGCAGCCATTTGTGTCTGAGTGTGGAATGTTGCGTAGCATATAATGTCTGCATTGATTGAAGGCATAGGCTCTTGGGGGCACGGATATGTCAGTCGGAGCTTTGTAAAGGTCTCTGATCTAATCCACTGGAAAGAAGATGACTGTATGCCATCCACAGTATAGCATAGATGGGTATATTAATGGTGAATACCATAAAGTAAACTGAATGTGTAGAGTAGTAATAAATTATGTGCACTGAAGTTCTGCTTTACTGATTACTTAGAGAAGATATCATTTGAAAAAAAAAAGTTAAATCAACTAGGTTAGTCCTAATTAATTTAGTTTACTTAATTTAACTAATCAGTAACTACCTTAGTCTATTCTGTCTTGCTATAAGAAAATACCTGATGCTGGACAATTTGTAGAGAAAAAGAGTTTATTTGGATCACTATCCTGGTGGCTAGAAAGTCCGAGATTGAGAAGCTGAATGTGGTAAGGGTCTCATGCTGCTTCCATGCGTGGCAGAAAGTGGAAGGGGAACAGACGTGTGCAGAGAAATCACAGGGCAACAGAGGAAGTGAGAGAGGGAAACCGAGGAAGCCAGACCCTTTTTAACAGCCCACTCTTGTGGGAATTAATCCATCCCTGAGAGAGTGAGAACTCACTGGAGGGCATTAATCTATTCAGGAGGAATCCACCTGCTTAACCCAAACACCTACCACTAGGCCTCGGCTCCTAATACTGACACATTGCGGATCAAATTTCAACATGATTTGTGGTGGGGACAAACCAGATCCAAACCATAGCAGTAACCAACATTGATTCACCATCTGTTATGCAGTTACATGGTGGCTTCAAAGATGTATAGGGCACAGTCTCTGCTCTCAAAGATCTTATAATTTAGTGAGGACTGGGAAGTAGACGAATTTGTAGATAACTATAATATAGAGTATAATAGCTGTTAGATGAGATGAACAAAGAAAATGGCATTGGAATTATAGAGCAAAGAGAGAATATTTGCTAGTGTATGTGCACATGTGTGCAGGAACATGTGTTTGAGCATCACATGCCTCGTCTGGGGTGGATCATAAAAGACTTCAAGGAAGATTTTGTATTGTGAACTGGACCTTAAAGGATGGCTGAGATTTTGACAAGTTAAAGATGGTACAGAGGTTATTACACATGGATAGAACATCATCTATTTTGGGAGACAGTGAATAGTCAGTTGAGTGAGATCATTTTTCTAGTTAAATAGTGGAAGGTGAACTC